ATCGATTTATTAATAAAAATAATTATTAAAGAATTATTTATACTTTTAACCTCTTCTTCCTAATACTTCTTTTATTATATCCTTTATTAAACCGTTATTAATATTTCTAAAGTTTAGGGCTCCTCCTTTCTCCTTTACTTTATTTTCTTCGACTATTCTTTTAATATCCTCCTCTATATTAGTTCGAATTATATAAATAACTTACAATCTATATTTTTCGGCCAATTAATTAAAATTCGGTACGGATAATTCCTTAATATTATTAAAATTAATAGGACTTTTAAGAATACTATAAAATTTAATCGGTATATAATAATTAATATTACTGGTATAAATTCCCCTAATTAATTAATAGGGTATTAGAAACACGTAGGGTTTAGTCAGGGATAAAACGCCGAATGTAAATATTTAATTTAAATTATTAAAAGTTTCATTAATAAATATAATTTCTAACTGGTTAGTAATTTAATTTTCAAAGTAGTTAAATTATTAATAAGTAACCCTTTTTATAATTACAGAAATAAAAAGACGGCGCGTAAATTCCGATTATAATAATTGTTTTAATTTCCCCTCGTTAGAAACCTCTTTATAAAAAGGCTTTTTATATATAAGGCGCGTACCGGTAATATTAATTGGAAATATTAGAAAGGCGTACCGTTTAATTAATAGAATATAATAAAGATAAATTAAAATTCTACGAAGGAAATAATTGTATTATTTATAAGTAGGGCCGAAATAGAGGGAATTACTAAATTCATCGATATTAGGAATATAGTAAATTAATTCAAAGTAGCCTAAAATAATAGGGTTATTCTCTATTAAATTATAAATAAATAGGTTAATAATTTTATAATAAACGTTTATTTATATCGTTAGTTTTAAAGAATAAATAATATGATTTTTAATATAACCGTTAGCGAAATAAAGGAATTTAAGCGTTATTAATTTAAAATAAGGGAATTAATAATAATAAACGAAATAACGGTTAATAAAATTAAGGGTAATATAATTATTATTAACGAAAGCGGAGTAATATAATTTATACGGTCTATAAAATAGGTAAATAAAAGAATTTAATAAATTAGAGTATTTATAATAATTACCTATTAAAGTGTATTGATTTTTATAATATTTAACTATATAAAGATAAGCCCTTATTTTCTTCCTTATTTTCTTCCTTATTTTATAAATTAATACCTCTAAACGTAATTTAGTTAGGAGGTTATATATTTCCTTAATTATAAATAGAATTATTTTCGTCGTTTAGAATGGGGCTAACAAAATCGGGTAAGTAAATAAGAACCGGGTAATAATAATTACCGGAGCCGAGGGTACCGGGAGCTAGAACGCTTATTAATATATTTATAAGAAGAATAAGATTTATAATATTAATTTAATAATTATTATGATTATAAGGACATTACTAATTATAATTATATTATCCTTAAGCAGGTTATTAGCCGCTATTATTACTATTACTACTATTATTATTATTATTATTCCCATTCTTATTTTCATTCTTATTTTTATTATAATTAAAAGGCTTAACCTCCTTCTTAAAATTAATATAAGAACGGTATTTAATTAAGAAGTAACCCTTTTTATTATAGCGAATATATATTTTATTCTTTATACGGAATTTAAATACCTCGTTATTAATTATACGAAAAAATTAAATATTGGAAGCGGATATAGTATTAAAATTTATGATCTTACTACCCTAATTAAAATTAATTTCGGGGGCAGAAATATTGATATTAGTACTAATAATAATAATACTAGTCTTATAAAAGGGGTTAATATTCTTCTTAAATTAATCTTCATCTTTTAAATTCTTAATTAAATTATAAACTTTAGTAAATTACTTCTCGTGTTTATTATTAGTAGACTAATTATTCTAATAAATAAAAGTAATATAAGTATATTCGCTAATCCCCTAATAAAGATAGTTAATTTTTATATTATTATTAAAATTATAACGGTTTATAAAGAAGGTAAACTTCTCATCGAAATCTTATTACTTTATTCCTTTAATTATTTTTAATTCCTCTAATTCGTAACGAAAATAAATAATAACGTTAATATTATTATATTTTTTATCGAACTTATCGAGTAATTCGAAGGCTATATTCTATTTAGCGGGCTCGCTAATAAAGATCTTATTAAATTCAATTTTAATAATTTTAAAAGTAAGGCCTTTAATAGAACGGGCAATTAACGAGAATTTAATACGTTCGGTAATAAAAATCTTTGATTTATTAATTTAAATGAATTTAATATGGAAACGCTAAATATAATATTTAGTAATATATTTAATAAAAATACTTTTACCGTCGAAAGCGGAAAATATAATGATATATAATACTGATTTATAGTCGCTATCGTCGTTAAAAATTATTATTTCGAAGTCCTTATTGTTATTAGGATTTTCGGGGGGCGGGGGCGGAATAGTAGCTTCGGGTTTAAAAATAAATTTAATTTTAGAGGCGGCGATAAAATATTAATAAAATTTATTAATATATTTTCAATATTTATTATATTATTTTTTATATACTTTTTTAAAATTAGTACGGAAGTCGGTAAATTCTTACTTTAAAATAATAATATCGTTATTAAAAATATTAACGGTATTAGAATAAATATTATGAATAATTTTGAATTTGTCGGCGTAGTTATTACGGAGGTTATTAATAATTTTATTATAATTTTTAATTACTTTTTACGTATAAAAGAGGGTTTAAATTTAAATTATAGCGATATTATTATTGTAACGCTTAATATTATAAAGTATAATAGTAAATTTAATTTCGGAAACGGTAAGTTCCTTTTATACTTTTTATATTTAAATATAGGCGGCAATAATATCGTTATAGAAGAGGCAATCGAAAATTTTAAAAATTATTTAAAAAATAAGAAATTAAATAAAATTAAATACGTATTTAATAATAATATTAATTTAAATTATTTAATTATTAAAGGATTTGAAAGTTTACGTAACGTTAAAATAATATTTTTAATTAGCCGGGTTTAAAATAACGAATGTGCCGATTATAATAATAGTGAAAAAGATATTAATTACTAAGGAAATATATAGGATGATATCGGATATTAAGTGTTAAATTAATACGTTAGGTAAATAAAAGGGAAAAGAGAGTACGAATATTTAATAGTAATATTCAATTTAATAATTATTTAACTCGAAGTTGAAAATTATAATATAAGGTTTTAATTATTTTAATATTGAATTTTAATTAATTTGAATCAGTAATATTAAATTAATAATATTATAATAATTAAAAATTAATTATAATCGCTCTTCCCTTAAATAAGCGCGCGTAGCGTAATAATAAGATATAATAAATCATTATGGAATAAAAGGGTATTATTAGGGGTAGGGTAAAATATACGTTATTATATGAAGGAAAGAAAAGGAAGTATACGTAGAAGATTAATTATATAAACGAAAGTTTAATAGGCTAATCTATACGTATATATATACGGCTATACGTAATTAAAATATGTAATTAATATATAAGTATATAATTTTAAACTATAGTATTAGTTTTAATATAGTATATATATAATTAATATAATATAATTATATTATAAATTAATTTTATAATAGCCTGCCCGCTTCATTTACCGCCGCCTAGTTTATTATTGCGGTACCTAATATTATTATATTTATTAATTATAACCGGTATAATAACTATTATATATTTTCTTACAATAAACCGCCCCGCTAGGTAATATAATAAAATATTTAAAAAGGAACGAGGAAAAGAAATATATAAAGAAGAAATATATAGAAGGGGGGTATATAGAAGGTATTTCGTATTGATATGTTATTTAAAAGGATTTATAACGAACTGTTACTAAAGTAATTAATAATACGATTAATAATACGGTTAAAATTATTATAATACAATTAATTCTAGCGCTAACACCTTCTCTAATATTATTATAATTAATTCTAATTTTTTTATAAAGGGCTTTAACGCCCTCTCCATTTCCCTATCCTTAAATTTAGTAGTAATTACTAATTTAGTAATAATTATTTTACAATTATATATTAATTTTTATTAATTCTAACCAATTTAATTATATGGTAGTAACGCTTATTAAATAACTAATATTAATACCCTAATCCTAATTAAATTAGAATTTCCCTCCCCCTTTTAATTAATAGTAGAGAAACTTATAAAATTAAATTATACTAATAACGTAACATAATCGAACTTTAATCGATATAAGACTATCTTTAATACTTTATTCTTAATATATAAGGGTTCTCTAATACTCTAAGTAGTATTTATACAGCGGGTATTAAAATTAGGGTAGGTACGTATATTTTGGGTAGTAAATATAGTATATATAGTAAGTGTAATATATATAATTACAATAGGGCTAATATAGAAGATAATAATATTATTAGTAATTGTAGTATTAACTTTCTTAGTAGTAAATAATTAATTAGATTAATGATTTTAAATACTCTTACGTAAAAAGAATATATAAAAGACGTAGATTTAACGATGCGCGGCCGTCGATTGTATAGCCTCAATTGTACGGTGTGTTAGGCTGGGCTAGGCGGCTGGGCTGGGCGGCTGGGCTTACTTAGCCTTAAAAAGTGGGGGGGACTACCTAGGGACCAGTTTGGGACTACCCAGCTACCGATTGCGAGCTTGAACGATGTCTGTTCCGGTAGGTAGTATCGAAGAAAAAAGAAAATTGACGATATTCCCGGTGCGTACATAAGCATATCTACAGTAGGCCTCGGAGGTTGTGTTCATCTTTCTTTTTCCCACAACGGTTGAACTGAATCGCCATCTGGACTTTCAAAACAGCCTCTGTTGCGTACTTGTGTCATTATCACCCCGCAAAACTTCCCAGGGGGCGGCGATTGAAACGACAAGAGTTCTGGCCCAACATCGCCGAGCTCTCCAAGCTCTGTCAGGCGAGCGTACCTGCCAAGTGTTGTTCCGAGCGTTTTGCATCACACAACATTTGCCCCTCATCCCATCTTTTTTTTTTTTCTTTTTTTTTTTCACTCACTTCCCCAAACCAAACTTTCAGTTTTTCTTCACCAACAGCACACATCCCTTACATTGTCAACAACACGAACTCAAGGGAGGACGTGGCATCACCAACCAACCGAAAACCAAAAGAACCAACATAACAAGCCTTCAACCAACAACCCGTCCAAACCAACAAACAACCGAACCTCCCACCAAAAAAATGGCCTCCCAAGAGCAAGCCCCCCGACAAGCCCCCCCAACAGTCGAAACCTCCGACCTCACCTACACCTTCCCCGACCGCTCCAACGGCGTCTCCAACATCACCTTGTCCCTCCCGCCTCGCTCGCGCACTTTGCTCATCGGCGCCAACGGCGCCGGCAAGACCACGCTTCTCCGCCTGCTAGCCGGCAAGCGTCTCGCGCCCGCCAACACCATCAGAGTGTCCGGCGTGGACCCGTTCAAGGACGGGCTCGAGGGCGTCACCTACTTGGGACTGGAATGGGTTCTGAACCAGATTGTCAGGACCGACATTGGCGTGGTTGAGTTGTTGCGGTCCGTGGGCGGGGACCATTACCCTGAACGCAGAGATGAATTGGTGTCGGTGCTGGATATCGACACCAACTGGCGGATGCATGCCGTCAGCGACGGGGAGAGGAGGAGGGTGCAGCTGGCGATGGGACTGATCCGTCCCTGGACGGTTCTTCTGCTGGACGAAATCACGGTGGACTTGGACGTCTGGTCGCGGGCGCAGTTCCTGGGTTGGTTGAGGCGGGAGACGGAGACGAGGGAGTGCACGGTTGTGTACGCGACGCATATTCTGGATAATTTGGCTAGTTGGCCGACGCACCTTGTGCATATGCACTTGGGGACTGTGAAGGGGTGGGGGAAGGCGGAGGAGATGTTGAAGGAGGTCGAGGATGGGAAGAATGTCGTCGAGGGGGTGACGGGGAATAGCAGGCTCGGTGAACTGGTGTTGAGGTGGTTGAGGGATGACTTGGGGGCGAGAGGACCGAGAAGTCAGCATCGACGCGGGCCGGAGGGGTTGAGTTATAATAGCCCGGGATTGGGGGGGTATGGGTTGGAGGCGAAGACGAATAAGGAGGCTACGGATGGGCCTGGCTGCAACTGAGATGGGGGCAGTGATAGAGAGGGGGAAGAAAGAGAAGAAAGGGTTTCAACATGGCTGAAGGGGAGGAAATTTTTTTGTTTAGTTTTTTCCAGTTTTCTTGTATGCATGACAAAAAGGGGGCTTTAACATGATACCCAGGCGGCATTTAACATGGCGTTTTCAACACAACATAGCATAGACAGGTATAGATATAGGTAGTTTTGACAGAATCTGTTTCCTATGTACTGTATAGGCCATATATGACATGAACCGGCCTTCATCTACTGTTATGTCCCTTTTCAACGCCCAGAGAAATCCCCAAGCAACATCTCCACGCCTATTTTCAGCAACGTAAAGAGTAAACACATATCGTACAGTCTACGCATGCGATCCAAATCGTCTGTCAAATGGTATCAGTACAAGTACAATGGGCTTCATGAATCACTCATCTCCCTCCACGCATAGCCAATATCCGCATCCGCATCCGCCCCTTCTTTTCTTTTCTTTACTCCTTCTTCTCGGTCTGCTCCTCAGCAGCACCCTCCTCGCCCTTGACCAAGACATCCTTCTCCTCGAGAAGCTTGGCAAGCTCGCCGTTCTGGTGCATCGAGACAATGATGTCGCAACCGCCGACGAACTCCTTGTCGATGTAGAGCTGGGGAATGGTGGGCCAGTCGCTGTACTCCTTGATGCCTATATATGCATGATGATGCGCGCGCGGTGCACACCCACTACTTGTCAGCATTTCTGTCCTTCTTTATTTTTTCCCCTTTTTTTTTCTTTTCCCAACTGGTTGGTTGTGTAACATACCCTGCCTCAACTCGGCATCCTCCAAAACGTTGAAAGCAGCAAACTTGTTGGGATCAACGCCCTGCAGACCCAGAACCTGGATGCTGGCGCGCGAGAAGCCGCACTGGGGAGTCTCGGGGGTGCCCTTCATGAAGAGAACGACGGGGGCGGAGGCGACGGCCTTGTCGATGGCCTGGCGGGTCGCATCGGACAGGAAGCGGTTCTGGTAGAAGAGGACGGGGCGGAAGGCGGAGGAGACGGCCTTGGGCGCAATGGCCGGCCGGGATGCGGCGGCGAAGAGTTGCTGTTGTCAGGGCAGGAGGAGGATGTTAGTGTCGGTTACCACCACTTTTGCGGGACGACGGGACCTGAAGCGCAACGGCGGGGGTCTTGCTTACCCTCGAGAAAAGGGACCTGGTCAACATTTTGAAAAGGGTGGTGGGTGCGGTACTGGCTGCTAGAGAGTGACAAGGTGTTCGGCGCAAAGTCAGACAGACAAAAGATCACGGCAATGCGGACGGATGGCGAATGTCGGCGGCAGCGGCAGTGGAAACCGTTATCACGACTTTTTAGCGGCGATTAACTGGAGCTTCCCTGTCGGCCTTGTAATGATGTAACATTAGCGCTTCTGATAAACCCCATGAAGAGGGTTAGGGTTATACATGGTGTTTTTCGCACTTTCGGTCTTGACATTTGTCAGCCCGGGAGGAGGCATCTAGAATTTCAACTCAACATCCATCAACTTCTTTGGTGTTGATGGTCAATGATCAACATGCCTATTTTCGGTTACCACGTAGCCGTCCACGCTGTCTTGCGCATCGCATATCGTGGGTTCGGTACTGCCATGCACCGAAGCTCTCCCCAAAGTGTCGATTGCATCATATATTGTTTACTTGGTACCAATCGCATCTTCCATCACCTACCGCATCATGATTTCCCCCAGATCTGTTCCTGTCATTCATCCAATGCCTCGGGAGTCGTCACTTTGGCGCATCAGGTACAAAAGTTGACAATCCGTAACCTCACTCCTCTTGTCCTTACCCCGCATACCAAGCCTCTCCACCTTGCCCAGCTCCCCAACTCCCCCACAGGGCGGGCCGCTAAACGGGAGTGCGCCCAGGGTGCCAATTGGTGACAGGCACACCCTCACACACCCTCACAGGCCTGGAGCAACGTGAGCGGGAGAAAGGGAGCCTCGGTAGTCGCCGTATAGGTTCGTGTCGCGTGATGATGTTGCTCCCAATTTCACTTTGTCGATGATGTTTTCCGAGTCTCGATTGCTGTTCAGCTCTTGTGCTCAGTATTCCAAGATTAAGCTGAGATGCTCTGGATTCAGAAACGGAAAAGCTTATCATGAAGTCCTAGCATGTCTTATGATGTTTATCGCACATCACGATGGCTTCAGCTGTTAAATAGCCCTGAAGAGCCATGTCCTTAGATTTGAGGACTCAGCTGGAATTGATATTTTCACACTCAAGTCTTTGTCGGATATTCCAATTGCACTGTCCTGCAAGCATCAAGAACACCAAACCTCAAAAGAGTCAAAATACCACTGCACGGGCACCATCTCTATCCCCATTCATCCTTTACCCCACACCTCCAACGTAGCATTCTCAACTTCCCCATACTCCAAAGTCCCGAATACCCGTTTTATAAGTGGTCGGATATGTTCGTCACTCTCTTGCTCGTTTCATCCTTTCTGGTCGACATTTGCGAGCTTGCTGCTGCTGCAGACACTACCAAGGCCAGCAACCACCCATCATCACATTCACCCCTGAGACCATACGTCATTTACTGGGTGTCCCCTTTTCCGACCAAACAGTGCAGTGGCCCACGCCATTCGAAGAAACGTGGGAATTGGAAACGTGAACCGGCTGAGTGGATAGACTGCTGTGGATCGGTCCGGTGCCGTGTGACCGTTTACTGAAGAAAGTAACTCGAGAGGTACCTTCAAGGACATTGAACGACTGGAAGGTCAAAGAAAGGAATCACAATGGTTGGCCAACCGCCTCTTACCGGACTCAAGGTCCTGGAGTTTGCCGGTCTAGCTCCAGGTAAAGCTCATATCCATCTCTCACCTTGGTCCGACTTACACGGAGGCTTTCGGCCGAAACCCGGCCGATCGTCATATCTCACTTACACCTCACTTAGACATCACCATCACTTGAGAATGTCCCAAGACTAACGCTAAAACAGGTCCCTTCGCCGGCCTCCTCCTCTCCGACGCCGGCGCCTCCGTCCTGCGCATCGACCGCGCCGTCTCCGGCCCCGTCGCCCGGCAAGTCCCCGACCAACTAACGCGGCACAAATCCTCGCTGGTCGTCGACCTCAAATCTCCCGCGGGAGTCGCCCTCATCAAATCCCTCGCCGCTGTCTCCGACGTCATCATCGACCCCTACCGCCCTGGAGTCCTGGAGAAGCTCGGCCTAGGTCCCTCCGTTCTGTGTGAAATCAACCCCCGCCTCATCTACGCCCGCCTGACCGGCTTCCGGCGCGATGGGCGGTTCGCCAACATGGCCGGGCACGATATCAACTACCTGGCTGTGTCGGGCGTGTTGAGTCTGCTGGGGAGGCAGGGGGAGAAGCCGACGCCGCCGATCAACATCCTTGGCGACTTTGCCGGCGGCGGAGCGGTTTTGTTCCAGGGCATCTTGCTTGCGCTGGCAGCGCGGGAGAGGACGGGTAAAGGGCAGGTGGTGGAGGCGAATATCGTCGACGGAGCGAGCTACTTGGCTACTTTCAATCGGTTTGCGCTGAAGACGCCGGTGGGGAACGCGCCGAGGGGGGAGAACTTGCTGGATACCGGCTGTCCTTATTATGATACGTACGAGACTAGGGATGGGAAGTACATGGCTGTCGGGGCGTTGGAGCCGCAGTTCTTTAGGGAGTTGGTTAGGGGATTGGGGTTGGAAGGGCAAGGGTGGGAGGAGAGGAGGGGGGAGAAGGAGAATTGGCCGGAGCTGAGGAGGGTGTTGGAGCAGAAGTTTAAGACCAAAACGAGGAGGGAGTGGGGGGATGTCTTTGATGGGACCGATGCGTGCTGCACGGCTGTTTTTCAGTATGGCGAGATGGAGAGGGAGAGGGAGAGGTCGGAGGGCGATCAGAGACCGGTGGTCACGCTTAGGGAGACGCCTTGCTTGGCGGTGAGGAACGATGCGAAGGACGCTAGGCATGGGCAAGGGCCGGGCGTCAAGGGAGAAGCGTATGTGGGCATCCCGTTGAAGCCTGGAAAGGGAGGCGAGTCTGTCGTGGAGCAGTGGCTCGGTTGGAAGAAGGGTAAGGAGTTTGATGTTTTGAACGGGAACGCTGTCGCTATCAAGTCTAAGCTGTAAGGGGTTTTCACACGTTCAACCCTGACATCCCCATCCTCACCTAACCCTTGACCCTGAAAGCCTTTGAAGCTCTGTCCAAGCCACTACGTGGCGTGGGTTTGGTATGTGGCTGAGGCACGATTTGTGTTGGCTTTCGGAGACAACGTCGGACATTGTTCCGGTCACGGTGACACTCTCAAAACACAGTCCGGCAGACCGCAACTCGGAAGCCGAGACCGCATTCGAAACAGAATGATCGACCAAGGCTAAACACCAAATTTTTCGCCTTAAAGTGAGACCTGCATCACTGGTTCCGCAGGTTCGGGAGCAGAAGACTGCACTATCTCGACTCAGCTCGACTATCTCTTGCGCGATTGCTCGATGTGGCAACATGGACTGCGATGGATTTTCGGCTCTATCGGTGCATGCTGCGGACTATTTGACCAGCCAATCGCTCACGCTTCCGTCGTTGGACAGACGTCTCTTGTGATTGATCAATCTGAATGAATGGTCGGCGAAATGCCTCAGCGACGTCAAGCTGTTCCACTTACCTTTCCTCCACGTATACCGGTACTTCCACGCCACCGCACCGCACGAACATGTTGGTTGGGGCCACTGAGGACCTTGCTGGGTGCTGATGCCGGAGAATCAGAGATGGAGTTTAAACACGATGGACCCCAGCTTCCAGGAGGATCGCTTACTTCACCTTCTTCAACACTACCTATTCCATCCACCCAAACCATTCAGTCCGGACTTCGATCGTTGTTTGGCCGAAAACGAAACAAAAACCGCTGGTTTTCACCTTCAGCCACGCCACCTTGACCTAACGTGCGCCTGATCCTCACAGCGCCTCTGATCCTCGGTGCGTCGGAGTATCGCTCACGACTAAGACCGACCCCAGTCACCCCACCTCCGCGGAGTTTAAGCCGTCACGCCGTCGAAACCGTTCAACAGTGGTAAGTCGAAAGCCAGATGATTTACTCTCAACCACTCGTTGCTCTTCAACACTTGAACTCGAGACAATGGCATTCTAAGAACCTTTTGGTCATGAAGAGCCGTTCATTGCTTGGTCGTTCTTTGGAGGTTCAAACATGGCTCAAGCAAGGATGTACAAGGAGATTCACTGCCCGTCCAAGCGGCGGCATGATGCAAGCTGCGCCGTGTCTTTGATAAGAATGTCATATACGTCGCCTTTTGGTTCCAAACTCTTTTTCCTGAACGAGGATTATTCTTGGGTTTTTCTTGTCTGTCTGTCGTTTAGAGCTTCCAAGACCCAACCCCATTCTTATTTCATGGGGTCTCGTGGTCAATCTCGTGTATCTTTGATTCACTCATTTCTTCCCACCTTATGATCGCCACACCAAGCGATATCGCATTACTTATCAGGGGGCACTCGACTCAACTCGAGCCTCATAAACTCGGGATCTGCCGCTAGCTCCATACTCACATTGTCTCCAAGTTGGAGATTTTCAATAATTGTTCCTGAAGCCAAGCACAAGTGGCGAAGGGACAGGACGATTACGCGTTGCTCGGCAGGACCCGGCAGAACCCACGACCGCACATAAAGATCACAAGACGCCCTGTTTACTAAAGTTACCATGATGCGCAGCTTCACGCGCCATAGATCTCCACGCCAGCGAGTTAGCTGGTCATCAACTATCGACGACATGTCTAGCCTCCGACCGTGTTCGAGCACATCGTCCAGGGGACGGGACACTGGGTTCCCAGAGCCCTTCAATGGAGGTGCGTAAGCATGACATACATATGACTGCATCATGGACTTAACTAACACCACTATCAGATCGAAACACAACATTACCACACCCAGAAGCCAATATCGGACCCAACGCCACCCTCGGCGAGGATGACATCTCGACGGAAAGGGCACTCATGCGGGCCAGAAATTCGTTCCTAAAGGAGCCAACTTCAAGCCCAAACAACGCCGAAGGGTTCATGGACGGCATCAAGAACATGGAACGCATGGCTCGCGCGGCAAGAGGCGATGTCAGCCAAAGACTATCAGACAATGGCGCGGCATGGGGGACAACGACAGCAACAACACCAACAAAGGACAGCGATAGTGTCATGTCCGCATCATCAGGTGGCTCAGGCCCTCGACGACTGGAGACCCCGTTCGTGAACCGTGCACAGCCGCTCTTCTCACCGGACTCGCCGGAGTCCAAGAAGAGCACAAAGTCAAGGGGGAAGAGGGCATGGTTTGCCAGGAACGTATTGGGCAGGTCGTCTTGAAAGGTCTCGCTCGGCTTGCTTGACGAGGCTGGGCGGGCCGCTGATGTTGCGGCTTAGCCGAGCTTGGCACAAGCCATGCGGAGGATGATCGCGATATTATTCGTTTTATTCGGCCAGGGCGGAGGGTGGAGTGATTCACCAAGACGGCAGAGCAGTGCCGAGCCGAGCGGGGCCGGGGGAGCCGAATGCTTTCAAAGTTCAGACTCTTTCTTGCTCATCTCTTTTTGTTTTCAGCGTGGAGTTTTGTCCGGGGTTGCATAACACCTGGTTTTGGTTTGAAGGAGCGAGGGTAAAAAGGAGGCATTGTACAGCATATTGCAACACACCACAAAACGACTGGAGACGAATTTCTTTTGTACTAAAGCATGCATTCGAAAGGGAGCAATATTATTTGGGGTTTCTATCGTTTTAATTATGGATGTGTTGAGGAACTGTGAGAGAGCATGATATGAAGCTGGCTTCATGGGGGAACCAAATTGGATAAGCAACTTGGGAATTCTCAGCCCAGCCTCTCAAGTCCAAGACAGGGGAATCTTTTACCACAACCATAAAGCTCTCATACACGGTGTTTAACTGGAAACTTCGGTCGGGCCATACCATAAAAGCCCGATGCCGTCGTACCTAGCAGCTGGGATCACAAAAGGCATCCGCTTCAACTCCACATCGTCACATGTCAAATCAGACAACCCAAGCTCTAAATCACATCACTGTACTCAAGCTTCGTCACTCAGGTCTGGATTGTCATAGGTAGTCGAAATAGGGCCAGGTAAAAATAGAGTGGATGTTGAGTAGAAATAGCATTGCCCGCAATAACAATGCGCCTTATGGGTGGAGTATCACATCTCGTCTCGCTCGCCGCTAATCTGCATTGTAGTAACATGATCGGATTTCCAAAACCGTTGAATGTTGATCTGCCGTGCTCATTTTCCCCATATTTGCAACCCATTCAAGCGCTTTCATCCTTCCGCTATAACGTACGTCACCGCTCCTCCTCCCATGTGGTTTCTCACCTAACCCATCACCCATCACCTACCCCGTCTTCCTTTTCCCCTCCCTCTCCTACATCTCACCCTCCCTCCTCTCCCCTCCTCTCCCTTCCTTCCCCTCTCCTTCCCCCTCCTTCCCCCTTCCAACCCACCGCAACCCACTTAACTCCCCCGATAAGTAGAATAACTATACGGCGCCAACAGCAACGGCACATGATACGTCTGCCCCTCCTCCACCCTAAACACCACCGTCACCTCGGGGAAGAAAGTCTTGTTCTCCCCGCCGAAATACCCGGCCGTATCAAACCGCAACATCCATCGCGACGGACCCTTGATGTCGTTCACCAAAACGTCTTCCAAAGTGTAGACGGGGACTTCGCCCGACGAAAGCGCCGAGGAGTAGGGCAGCCAGGTCTTGATGCGGCCGTCTTCGTCGGTTATGGATTCGAAGGTTTTGCTGGGGGTTTGGTGGGAGGTAGTAGGTTCGGTGGATGTGGATGATGATGATGGGGTGGAGGTGGAGGAGGTGGAAGAGAGAAGCTCGAGCTTGACGCGCACCGAACGGGCTGGCTGGCCCTTGGAGGTGTCGAGGATGTGGCAGGTTATGCGGTCTTTGGTTGCCATTTTGGTTGTTGGCTCTTTATTCTCTCGCTGTGTCTGTTTTGAGTTCAACTTGAGGTTAGGATTGGCTTTGGATTTGAAAGGTGAAAGAGCTGAGGTAAGTTTGAGGTGAAGTGATTTGGAGGTGAAGTTGACGGACAGGGGTCTGAGTGACAGCTGTGCCCGCTGGGGGGAAGCTGGTTGATGGATCGTGGTGGAGCAGGAGGCGGGGCTTATCAGCGATAAGCGCGTTAGGGGGACAGGTACGTACCGTGATTGTTTTGGGGGCTTGTGCTAACTCCTCAAAAGACTTTTGACCTTGATGAAGAGCTTTAATTTCAAAGGTAGAGGGCCATCGATCTTTTTGTATCATTCCAAGGTGAAGTCCGCTAAGGACGGGACGGGGCGTCAACCGACACAGCCTCCTCCTTCCCGCCGGCAGCAGGGTCGAGGCCGACGATGGGGAACCACTGGGGCCGTCGGCGGCTGCCGTGTACCGCTGCGACTCTCAGGCGGAGCTAGCTCCATCAGGGTACCAGTAGTAAATTTCATGGGATATTCCTGCGTTTTCAACGGTCATCTAGGTACTACCTACCGGCCTTAGTCAAAAGCTGTAAATAGAAACATGAATGTCCCACTGCCAGTTAGGACGTTGTGTCAAGATCTGGTACTTGTGTGGTTCCCTTCAGTGGCTCAGGGTGCTACACAACGCTGGGGAAGAGCCAATTCGACGACAAAGAATAGGGAAGCCTAAATGGTGATACCACGAATGGTGCATGCTGCAGACATGGAGAGGGGCAAGCAAGAAGAGTTCGAGTTCCATGTCGATGTTGACATGTCTCAAAGTCTGGGATGAAATGTGACAAGAGATTAAATATCGAAATGGGGGCACCCTTGCAAGTGGCCAGGGGAAGACCAAAACACACAAACGGCCCCACGATGCGGCGCTTTTCCCCTTGTAAATATTTTGCCTAAGACTAAAACTGAGTCACGTCATTTGTATGGACAATGAAAGCCGACACCGGGCATCTACTACTGGACAGTCTCTATTGGGAGTCATTTATACATCAATGAAGTGACTCCGATTCCGCCAAAGCTTTAACCCTGAAAAGGACTTGAAGAGACTCGGGAAGCCAAGGGAAGAGTGGAGATGCCAAACTTCTAGACTCTTTGAACAACATCAACCTGACTCTTCACTGTCTTTGTATTTAACAACTCAAACCTGTCTTAGATAATTCATATTACTTTCAGTCTCAGACACATATCAAAAATGCCTTCCCGCGCGGACATCACCTACTTCGGCGCCGGCCCTGCCGCCCTCCCCACCGACGTCCTCGAGACCGCCGCCCAGGCGCTGCTCGACTACCAGGGCACCGGCCTGGGTATCGCCGAGCACTCTCATCGCTCCGGACTTGCGGCCAACATCATCGACGAGGCCAAGGCCGACCTGGCCACCTATCTCGACTTCTCCCCGGAGCAGTATGAGACTCTCTTCATGCAGGGTGGTGGCACCGGCGAGTTCGCCGCCGTCATGTACAACCTCGTCGGCGCCTGGGTTTCCCGCCAGCACGCCGCCGTCCAGAAGGAGCTCGGCGAGGGTGCCGCCGATGAGGCGCAGGTGCTTGCCGCCCTCCGCCAGCGCGTAGAGTCCGGCCTCAAGGTCGACTACATCGTCACCGGCAGCTGGTCGCTCAAGGCCTACCAGGAGGCCCAACGTCTGCTCGGCCCCGAGTATGTCAACCTGGTGTGCGATGCCCGCACCGTCAACGACGGCAAGTTCGGCAAGATCCCCGACGAGAGCACCTGGAAGCTCAGCAAGGACGCCGCCTACGTTTACTTCTGCGACAACGAGACCGTCGATGGCGTCGAGTTCCCTAATTTCCCCAAGATCCTCGAGCCCAAGGAGGACGGCACCGGCCCCATTGTTGTGGCTGATATGTCCTCCAACATCCTCTCGCGCCGCATTCCCGTCAACAACTACTCCCTCCTCTTCTTCGGCGCCCAGAAGAACCTCGGCTGCACCGGTATCGCTGTGGCCATCCTCAAGAAAACCTTCCTCCCGCCTACCATCAGCCAGCCCTGCCCTGCTCTGCTCAGGAAACTCGCCCTTCCTATCCCTCCTATCGTTCTTCAGTATGAGATTATTGCCAAGAACAACAGCTTGTACAACACGCTGAGCATCTTTGAGTAGGTGTCTACTGAACATTTTCAGGACGTGTATTCCAAGCTAACAAAGTGATAAGTGTCTACATCGCCGGCCAGGTTCTCAAGAAGCTCCTTGCCACTTTCCCCAACGGTGTTGACGGCCAGCAGGCCGTTGCCGAGAAGAAGGCCGAGCTCATCTATGCCGCCTTGGAGGCCCACCCCGAGACTTACAAGATTGTTCCTGACAAGTCTGCCCGTTCCAAGATGAACATTTGCTTCCGCGTTATCAAGGTATGTTGAGTTTACAGTTGCGGATGTTGGAGTTGATGACTAACACATCCCAGGGCGGCAACGTCGACGAGGCCGAGAAGGCCTTCCTCAAGGAGTCCACCGCCCTCAACCTGACCGGTCTCAAGGGCCACCGCAGCGTTGGTGGCATCCGTGCTTCCAACTATAACTCCATTCCTCTAGAGGGTGCCGAGAAGCTGGCCAAGTTCATTGATGAGTTTGCCAAGGCTTAAATTAAGTCTACCGAAGCCAAAACAAAAAAGTATACGGATCTGGATCTGGGTAGGTAGGTAGGAACCGGGATAAAAGTCGACTAGAAGGCGCAACATGGGATGGGATAGCGGGGAGCGAAGGTATCGGTTCTTCAACAACAAAAAAGTATGATAAACACCCAATTTCAAACACGATTGGGATGGATACCCCCATAATATAAAAACTCATTTTCAAAGGCCACCCACCCCCCGTTCTTTCTTTTCTTTTCTCATCATAAACCCCTTCCTCACTCACTCCCCCTTCTCAATAACCTCCCTCAACCACCCCGGCACTTCGGGCCCCCTCTCCCACCCATCCAAATAACTTTCTTTAGCCACCCCCTCGCCCGCCGGCTTCGCATAAATCCCCGTCACATACCACCACCTCTCCCCCTTCTTAATCCTATGCTGCAACGTCGGAATCGTCGTCCTGCTCTCCACCAAATTCGAGTTCGGATCCGCATTCACCAACATGGCCTCTCTGCCCTCCTTCTCAATCTCCAACGCTCTAATCCCCACCGCTCCCGCCCTTGACACCGCGAATGCTCCCTGTTTAGCGGGAGCCCACGCTTCGGGTGTGTTGAGGTCATAGTTACCAATCAGTTTTGGGAAGGTACCCTCGCATTTCTCCGGATCGTAAAGGTCTAGGTACCGACCGTCGGGTGTGCGCTCGTTGAGGATGGCGAAGGACCCGTCGGCTGTCATGACTTCGCGCCCCCCCTCAGCGCGGATGTGGTGCGCGCGCAGGTGCCAGTTCGGTGCGGCTTCGGTGGGAGGGAGGAGGTAGGTGGTTACGAAGACGTCTGGGTAGGGTGTCCAGTCGGAGACGAGCACGGGGTTGTTTTCTTTCGTGACTAGGCGAGACGTGGAGAGCCGGCGGGTCTTCCAGTACTCGCCTCCGTCGTCGGAGAACCCCAGCTGCGAGGCCAGGGCGTATTGCTCGAGCGTGAAGCAGCCGGGGGGAACGGAGTAGCCGAAGGCGGAGGAGTAAGCGAAGGCGCCGTACTTGGCGTGTGTGCCCTTCATCGGGTAGGAGCAGGCCTGGCCCGAGGAGAGAAGCATGCAGTGGCCGCCGAGGTTGCTCATGATGTGCCCCGGTTGCGGGAGGGGTTTGATGGCGGGGATGAGCGGCCAGGGGTCTTCTTCCGAGGAGGTCCAGAAGGGGTGTGTTTCGGGCACGGCGAGACAGATGAAGGCTAGACAGGCCCAGTAGGGCGAGCCGGGACTGTTGTAGTTCTCGGCCATGTACATGTTGGGGTAGGAGTAGCCGATGGTTAAAGTGCCGGCGGGGCTGAATATGTTGTCTTGTGTTTGCCACCAGCGGAGATGGCGGAGGACGATGCCCTTGACCATGCCCCAGGTTAGAGGGGCGGGGAGCTCGACGTCGGCGTAGGCGAGGGCGCCCCAGAAGGAGACCATGGCGAAGCGGTAGCCGACACTGCGGCCGAAGGGGATGGCGCGGCCTGGTTAATGGGTTAGGAATGTTCCTCCTAGATGGAATATGATCTGAGTGGTCACTCACCCTCCTTGTCATAGTAGTGTACCAGGTCCAATGCGGCGATCTGTGCCCTCTTCTTGAACTCGGCAGCCCGTTCGGGTTCATCTTCGCCGGCCAGTTTGGCATAAAGTAGCTGAAGGAAGTGAATAGCGAAGCTCGAAGAGTAGTAATCCATTTCTTTCCGTTGCTGTCAGTATCTTCTCCTCCTTCATGGATACAGCCGGGTGGTTAAACATACGATGAATACCCTCCGGTCCATCATTCGACCAGCCATCACCACGGTAAAACGTATTGAGATGCTCAATATCAGCATCCAGTCTCTCCTGAGAGAACTTTCCTCCGTTCTTCTTTAATCCAAGGTTGGCAAAGACGCGGAACCACAGCCAGTTAGTGTTGGGCATGCTGTAAATACTCAGTTAGTATTCTCTTTTTCCTTCCATCCTTTCATCCCCCTTCCATCCAAACCTCCCATCCAAACCTCCCCTTCTCCCCCTTTCCCCCCGACTTCCTCCCCACCACCCCCTTTTCATATATCAACCCAAAAGAAAAAAAAGAAAAAACCTACTTTTTCTCATTAACCCTCTCCCCCAACCACCTCTCCACCCCCCTCTGCCCCCTCTCCCCAAGCCCCTCCCACAACCCCGGCACCACCGCAAGCGCAAATCCCAACGGACACATCTCCACCATCCTCTGATCATTATCCCTCGGCCATCCCCAAAACTCTTCTCCCCCTTCTTCTTCCTGTACTCCATTCCGTATCCCCTCGATCCACCAATCTTTGTATTCATACTCCCCGCCTCCGGCTAACAGACACGCCAAACCCCAAAGGGGGCGGGCAAGACCTTCGATTTCTGAAGCGGTTTGGTCGAATCGGACGGCGGTGGCGCCGGGGATTCGGATGCGCGATTTGAGGGGGGAGAAGAAAGGGAGGAGGGGGTCGAGGAGGGTTGTGAGGAGACGTTGGACGGAGGAGCGAGATGAGAGGGGGATGAGGGAGAAGGGGTGGGGGGTTGAGTGGCCTAGGAGGAGGCCGGGGACGCCTTCTGGGGTTGTGGTGTTTGTGGTTGTGGGTTTGTTGGTGGAGGACATGTTGGGCGGTTATTGAAGGGTATGATGTAGTAGGTTGTATGGTAGTAGAGGTAGGCGTTTCACGGTGCTGGCCTCATCCGGTTGTTGGAATACTCGGAAGTTGGGAGGAGAGAGAGACTCTGGAGAGACCACTGACGTGAAAAGAACAGAAACAACAAAAACTACGAGAGAACATGTCTGGGAAAGGGGTAGTTCCCGGTATATAAAGCCGATAGATACCACATGGTCACAGTCTATCATTACCATCATTACCACCCACCCTCCGTTCCCCCCACTCCATCTCGCGGTTAATCATCCCGAAAGCTCTCTACCGTGTATAACCACGACGACTTACATAGACCACAGTGGAGCCATTGGCGCCTGGATGTTATGGTTCGGATGAGGGGCACGAGGGGTTGCGTTCGTCTCGAGGTTGAATCAGGCTGCTCGCGGCTAAAATGCTTCCCCCATGCCGTAACGCTCACAAGTTGGGGAGAGTGGAAAATGGGGGATCGTCGTTACGACGTAACGGTTCTACAGTTCAATGCTGGTTTGTTTGTTAGCTTGGTACTCCTAGTATATTAGACGATATCCATCCTATATAGTCCTAAACCTCATAAGGACAAACTGAATGGCCAAGTACGAATCGAAAAGGCATTAACAAGATTCAATATGACATATTGAACTTCGGAAATAGCATATTTAAGATGGATTAGGCTTCGATTATGGAACGAAACGCATTAATAGATATGAAAACGCCTAGGGAAGTAGACCCGAGGTCTCGAGCTAACAAACAAACCAGTATTGGACTGTAGTGTCTCCCCCTTGGGGGCATCCACCCCCACGTGGTAAAGAGAGCCAAGAGAGTTATTCCATGAATCCCCGGAAAGCTTGGCTTCAAAGTGATGACAGGGCATGTGGATGTGGATGTTGTCACTTGTTTGAACCTTAATGAGTTACATACAGAATAACCTTCCACTTTCATACAACCAGCTAGAAATCTTAAGCTACGAAAAAAGCAATGGTATCAAAACCTAGACCTCTTGGTCTTCAACTTCTACTTCAATTCCACCTTAAAAGAGCTCCTTCTAAGTAGACAGTACGTACTCTTTCTTTATACATACGACTCTGTTTGTGCACTATCGGGACTGCTTTCTCCATTTTCGACTTTGTCAAAGCTTGCATCATGATGCTTGATGTACAATGTGCAAACAGAACTTGATAAACTTTTAATGGAACAGAACAAGCAACATGCGACGTCTTCTCCTCATCCTGTTGTTTCTTTACTTTCTTCAGGATTCGTATCCGTCGCCGTCGCCGTCGCCGTAGGTGTAGTCTCAGTCTCCTCCGGTGCCCCGGCACTCGTTGCTGTGCCTGGTCGTGATGATGACGGCCCATCCGTCTTGGCCTCGGCTGCCGAAAGATCCTCGGTGCTAGCTGAAGGCGCGGCTTCTGATCCATCTGCCGCTGTTGGCCCATCCTCCCCAGTCGTGCTAGTCTGGGCCTTTTCTCTCCTCCGCCTTCTCATGTTCCTCTCCTCAGCTGCAGTCTGCCTCCTTGACTTCCTCAAACTTTCCCGCTTCTCTGCATCGTCGTCCGCCCCATCGCCGCCCTGGAAGCTTTGCAGCAATGCAGCTGCGCGTCGAGCGACGTCGTCTTCCTCCGCGTCGGGATCCTCCTTTGTTGGCGGTAGGGCGTCGGGGCTGAGAAGACCGTTGCTGGCGCCGTCGTCGTCCGTGGTCGCGGATGCAACACTCTTGCCAGTCTGAAGGGCGGCCTCCACCTCGGGGATTTCGTTGAAATCCGGTACTTGCTGGCCCGAGGCGACGCGGACTTGATGTCTGTCCTTGAGACGTGCTCTCCTCCTCCTGTCTCTTTGGTCTCTGGTTTGCGGGGCTGCCGCTCTGAGCTTCTCGAGTAGACTGTCCATTGCCCCCGTACTCGTAGGGCTTGCCGGTCCTTGTGCCTCGGCAGCTTGTAAAGCCTTGAACTGAGCATTCTTGCGCTTCATCGATGCCTCGTTCCGCTTTCGCTGCTCTTCCAGCTGAATGTTCTTCTCGCGCGACCTCTTCCACTCCATGATGAATGTCGCCAGCTTGGAGAAGAAGTCGCGACGAGCATTGTCGTCTGCCGGGTCTTCGCCGTAAAAGACCATGATGTCGTTGTATGTGCGCACCATCTCTTCCAGATACAACTGCATTTGCTCTGCCTTGAACCGAGCATCCTTCATGACCCTCTGCACAATCTGCGACACGCGATCCTGGGGGTGGAACTTCTTCGGATCGGAGAGATTGCCTGAGTCGAGAGACATTTGCACGTTCTTGACGTTGTCGATATACTTCTTGGCATCCGCCTGAAGCTGTTCGATGTTGATCTTCTGCGCCGCAATAACGCCCTCGATGTCCTTGGCGAAGTCTTCCCACTCTGGGTATTGCTGGCGCACAATACGCTCGACGAGATCCGCAAGGGTCGATTCGTTCTTGTCGTCCTTTACCATACCAAGTCTGGCAAGAGAAGAGAGCTTGAAACCGCGGGCTTGCTTGTTCACGTCGTTCATATAGTTACCGATATCCAAGATGAGGCCGAGTACGTTCATAAGGGACACGGAATCTCTCAAAGATTCGGATACTCCTACAACGGCGCGCATCTTCTCGGTAATTTCTTCGTAGTCTTGTTCGAAACTGCGAGTCAGTGCAAGGGCCCTCATCCTACTCTTCCAGTAGTGATGAAGTTCGAAGGCCGTAAACAGATAGATCTGATCCTGTCTTGTGAGCTCGTTAGGGTCCTGTTCTCGGGTATCTTTGCCGGCATCTGGTCCAGTCCAGTCCTTGCTATACGGTGCCATCACCTTGGCGGTGTTATCCGAAATGTTGCAAAGATCATCCTTCTGCAGGAAGTCCATGACGACGGGGTTGTCGAGTACGTCTTTGTCGCAGTGAATGATCATCTGTACCACCTTCTCGACAGGGAACTGTGAGAATTTGGCAAGCGCGATTTCTGTAAACTGTTAGTGTGTGGCTTTATCGAAGCTGCGGCTTATCATCTGTTTCTTACCGAATGCCTTGCGCAAATCGTTGGAGATGATCTGCTTCTTGTCATCCTTCTTGGCACCTCCAGCACCGCCAAGCTTCTTGATCTCCTTTGCCATGAACAACTTCTCAACCTCGTCAAGGATACCCTTCTTGCTGAGCTCATGATACTTCTCTTCTCTGGACTCGGGGGACGGTGTGTGTGCCGCCCAATGCGTTGCCAAAGGCGTGTCGACCTTGTCCCAATGGAAAGCCTTGAGCTTCTTCTTAGGCCGGACAACAGGTAGCCCGACAGAGTTGGTCGCGGGAAGCCCAGCGTTCTGTGCCAAGAAGCGGCCCGAAGCAGGACCTGGCATAGGGGGAGGAGGTGGTGGTGGCATACCAGGCATACCAGGCATGGGAGGGGGCGGAGGTGGTGGTGGTGGCATACCAGCCATACCAGGCATTGGCGGAGGAGGAGGCGGCGGCGGCGGCGGCGGCGGTGGCGGTGGGCCACCAGCGCCGGGCATCGGAGCAGGAGCACCCGGGAGACCTCCTGGCGGCGGAGGAGGAGGAGGTGGTGGCGGTGGTGGCGGAGGGGGGCCGCCCGCACCGGGAATCGGAGCCGGGGCGCCAGGAAGGTGGCCAGGGGGCGGCGGAGGCGGAGGCGGCGGTGGTGGTGGAGGTGGAGGGCCCGGTGCCGCCGCTGGCGCAGACGGTCCGGTAGCATCGGTGACTTGGATCTTGGGAGTCTCGGTATCGCTGGGTGTGATGGGTGTCTGGGACTCCATGCTGGGATGCGAGGGACCGGTCGTGATACCATCTCCTTCCTCGGAGTCGCTGGCATCGTACCTCCTGACCTTCCCAGTAAGTTCGTTGAACATACCATTGGCCTGCTTGGGGTCCACGACGGGCCTCCTAATCTTGACCACGCGAGGCTTCTCGTACACGATCTCGCCGTCGTCCCCGACCTCGGCCTCGGCATCGCTCTCCTCGAGAACGTTCTCGACATGTTCTGACCGGGAACCAACAGGCTTCCTGGGGATCTTTGTCGACCTCTTGACGCTGCCAAGCATGCTGTTGGCGAAGTCGTTGGGCGGCGCACCCTCTGGTGTGTCGTCGCCAAAGCCATCCATCTCCTCCCGAAGAGCTCGGAGCCTATCCGAAGGGCCAATCACTTCACCCCATACTCTTCCTTCAAGCTTAAACTGCGTCTTTTGGCGCTCGATCTGCATTTGCAGGCGCTCAAGAAGCCTCTCGCGATCGAGGATGCCTTGCATGCGGGCTACGTCTTCCTCACCAAGCTTCGCATTGCCCTTGGTGGCGTTAGAGGCAGCTACATCTTGAGCGTCGCGAAGCATGAGGTATAGTTCGCGGGTCTCTAGCTCGTAGCGTTGCGCCTCCTTTGCTCGCAGGGTCTGCAAGCTGGCAAGTTCCGACTTGAGGCCCTCGGCACGCCTTTTCTGGGCCTCAATGAACATGGCTTGCTCATCGATCTGCTTTTGTAGCTTAGCCACAAGACCGTCCGCTCCCAAGGCCAGTCTCTCCTTCATCTCATCCCTCTCCGCCATAGCGGCATCCGCTATCTGCCGCGCTTCGAGGGCCTCATCTAGAGCCTGACGAGCTTCAGAGTCGGTATGGAGCTTATCTAACAGACTTTGAACTGTGAAGTTGAGACTTTGCTTGAGGTCCATGTCCGGCAACCGGCGGTCCATAGCTACGTAGCTGAGCATCGAGTCCACCAGCTGGAACATTCGCAGTCTCTCTTCGCCGTCATTGGCCCTGATCAACAGCAAATGCTGGAGAGCAGATACAAAGTAGTCCTGCGTCTTGGTTCCAAGTAACCGCTGCTGGATAGCATCTACGATTTGAACCGGGTCGTTGAGATCCTTAACCTCACCTTCGATACTATCTTTGATGCTGCTGTTCTCACGCTCGAGCATATCCTCATAGTCGATAGCTTCGTTGGAGCGGAACCGCTCGATTTGCTTGTCGATCAGCTCATACTGAAAGGCCTCCATCTTGTGCAAGATGCGCCTGATGCCACAGGCCGTGAACTGCGCCCGAATGTGGATGCGCAGCTGCAGGTCCTTCTCAGGGGCATCGACCAACATGTTGACCAAGATGAGGGTAGCAACGGCGTATTCCATGAGCAGATTCTCCATGCCAATGCCACCACTTCGTACCTCCTCGCTAGCACCGACCAAGCTGCCCATCTTTCCGCGGCCGTCGACGGTGACCTCAACAAGACGCATCCAAGCATCGAAGCGCCCGTTTTCGCCTTGCTGGGCTTTGACGACGTCCATGGCCTCGATGACCTTGACATGGCCCGTGCCTTCGCCCCAATGGCAGAGGAATGTCAAGACTTCGCTGACGAGCTTCCGAGTGGTGAGTCGAGGTGATATCAGGGAGGTGGCCAGAGCCACAATAACCTGTTGGTGAGCTAGCGCATCGTCTGCGCCAAACTTGTTGTTCATAAGAGCCTTCAAACACTTGACAATGTCATATTCTCGGTCCAAGTTCTTATCCAATCTCCCATTATCCGGCTGAGCAGGTCCGAAGGCAGTCTTTCGGTTCATCTTTAGCAGGACATTGGTCAAGGCTATCTGTCCCTGGCAGTCGATGAAGCGCTTGACCCAGCCGATCTGCTGTGTTCGAAGGTTGACTTCCAGTCCTCCGAGCCCTTTGCTGTCCAGAGCGTTCTCCATGACCTTGCGCACATACCACTCGGGGCTGCCTTCGTCATCGGAGGATTGGGTGATATCGACATTGCTGTATTGGCCAATCCTGGCCGTCTGCCTGCGCTTCTGTTCGCCCTGCCACTCGGTGAGTCGGTCCTGGTAAATCAAGGTCCATTTCTTTGCGGCGGGGTATGCGATCATCTGGCGCTTGGCCTGATCCGGGAGGTTGTGCCATCCTCGCTTTTGCATCAGGTTTATGAACATCTGTTCGATCACATTGTCATCGTCTGGTTTGGGGAAGTTGAATCCTTCGGAGCCCTGGTGGCCGGCAGCGACCTTGGTTAACCGCTGGGTATCTCTGTCCTTGTGGGAATGGTGAGAAAGGTAGGATGACTGAGACGAAGTACTAGGGAGTCCTATCCTGGATGAGCGATGGCTAGTTCCTGGGGCTTCTTGATAGGGTCCGTCCCTACCTGAGTAGATGCTGGCATTGTCGCCCGAACTGCGGGTCGTCATGTATGAATTGCCTCTGGAGTTGTACCCGGGCAAGCTGCTCTCTCTTGGTGGCCCCCATTGCTGGAACTGGGCCTGGCGGCCCGTGGAAGCCATGGTGATATTAGCGTTGGCGAGAGTTGAGCGCGAACTTGATGCGCTGGGTGAATACCCATTATAGGGGGAGCTTGGGCTTTGGTCGACGGTAGGATACTGGTGAAAGTCACCGGTGCCTTTGTTTAGATGGTTTGGTACTAGGTCTCGCCTTAGGGGCATTTGGTCGGGCCTGGGAAGGTGGTCGAGGGCGACGGGGGAGCGACGGTCGGGGGGACCAGCGTCATAGGGGATCGTCGTGACAACCCCTGCCGTCATGTTAAGGCCAGATTCGGGTGTGTCGGGACGGTCCAGCGATATTACAGACGAGTCCCGGTAATGGCGCGAACTGCGTGCGGTATGGGTGCTGGCGGCGTCGTTGTCGGCGGCAAGGTATCGGCCACCCTCGTCGCTCGTGTTCCGTTTGTCGGCCTTGTTCTTGCCAGTGGCTCTCGAGAAGAAGGAGGAGGCCTTGCCGGTCGAGGAGGTAGCCCTCCCATTCTTGTCGTGGGAAGACATGATGCGGGCGGGACGTGTGAAACAGCCGCTTCGCTACCGGCAGGGCAGTACACTAGAGTACAGTCCCAGCAGCGCAAGCTGCCAACGTGTTGTTCGGGGGTGGTTCCTCAGCAGTAGGCGAGCGGGTATCGTGGGTATCTGGATCTCCGTAGAGGGGCGTCGAGGGGTGTCGAGGGGCCGGGTCGGGTCTCGTCTCGAGGCTCGGGGTGGGTTGTTGTATAGGCAATCAATGCGCGGGTGGGTCAATCGGTAAATGAGTGCGTTGGAATATGGAGCAAATGCCGTCAATGGACTCGGTGTCTGAGGCCCTGGGTGGATCGCATCATGTTCTTTGCGAGCAATGACGGTTGGTGAGCATGGCCTTCCTGCTGCATGAACCGGTGGTGTTTAGCATGAGGTCAAGTCGGAGGGGAGGTAGCCGTGCCTGGGCAAGCTTTTGCGCAGAGGCGGCGGCCGGGAGCGAAGGGCCTCGAGGTAATAGGCTAGCACTGCTAGCTGGTAGGGTGGCACTAGGACGAGATGTGTATGTGTGCGTGACTAGCTGAACAGTCCAGATGGGAAATAGATCTTCCAAGGTAACGAAACTGAAGTGAAAGTCAAAGGGGTCAAGTCGCAAACGTATGAGCGGGCGCAAATGTCCGTACCCGTGTGTGCCCGTGTAGTCGATACCTGGAGATAGTAGTGTAGGATGTCGTCGACTTCGACTTCTGGGTCTAGTGTTAGAAGTATAGATAGAGTAGTAGTTACCTAGTAGTGTACCGACGGCAAGGAGGGGTGATGAAGATGCCACACCACAGCTCGCTCGCTAGGTACAGAAGTGCTGCTAGAGTAGATACGCCGAGGCTGAACTAGGAGAACAACAAAGTCCCGTTCGTTCGTCAAATCGTCAGGGGACGGACTCTTCCGTTCGAGGGGTCTGGTGGATTTCTTCCAGTTCTACCAGGTTGTTGGCGTTGGCGGGAAGGTGGAAGCGCGCGCGCGCGTGGGGCGCTGGAGGGCCTCTCTTGGACGGGCTTAGTTACCCACTCGGACGAAATTGAAGGTCGATTTAAGATCGGGCGGCAAATGAATGGGCGTCGTCTTTGAGCGATGATTGGGAAAAAGGAGCGATGGCGACGACGACAAGGTGGAGCGTCGTCCTTGTAGTGGCTGGCTCACTCGCGAATTATCAGCTATAGAGGCAGCCTCGGGAAAAGGAGAGGCAGAGGCAGATGACCATTCAAGTTGCATTAACAGTGAGACTGAGGTGAGTGGTTGAATGAGTTGAATGAAAGAGATCACTTGAGTGAGGTTGGGGTTGCCGTATGAACGTGAACAATGCTCGGCAATTGCAGTGGGTAAGTCATCCATGGTGCGGGAGGGTGCACCGTGCACTCTTAACAGCTGCACCTTCTGTGATGGGAGATGAAAGCGGTTTAGCTAGGCACATCATCACCCCTGATGTCTCGAATTACAGGCGGGGAATTTGTTAGTGTTCAAGACGCAGGCTTCCTCTCCACCATCCCCTCCGAAACAAATCTCCATCAGAACCGGTGATTCATGTAAGTGATGATAGAGAAGAAACATGTTGTCCAGGTGCTAACAACTTGTCTGTCTACCTGCTGAAACTATACGCATAACGTTGAACTCAAATGATTCCATTTTGTGGCTCATTCAGCGGCGCCATCCATATATGTTCACATTACTATATAGCATAGTGCTTGGAACTATGACTGGGGGAGATTGATATGGTGGAATCACATCGAACAGATATTAAAATTGGCTGCTGATCCCTTGTCCAATCATCACCGTTCTGCCCGAGTATCATTGTCTTTCGTTGCGTATCACCATCCACACCAAAGGAAGTCAAGATGATCTGAAGGGGAAAAAAAAGACTCCAGGCTATGAACCAGAAAGAGACATTTGAACAATAAGTATACAAAAGGAAGAGCTGTGGCTGACAATTGGGGATTCTTACGCGAGGCCGTTGTTGCCCCTGGATCATCGGGCAGTTCTTGGTTTTCTGCATCTCATCAACCTCGAGGGTGCCGTTGCTATTTTGGAGCCCTCGCTCGGAAGTCGCCCGGGCCTGCCACCAGGCCCGCTTTCCAACAGGCCCAGTCCAGGCACGATACAGTGCACAACGCCTGAGCCATCAAGGTGGCTATGGCGCACGCAGTTAGGCCGGTACCTGATTACGTACCGGTTTGTCGTAACCTCCGTAACACTTCACGGCGCGGCCACTACATCTGGCCTGTTCAGCCACTACCATCGCGACCTCAAGGCTTTCGCACTCTGTACCTGGTCTCGAATTTTGAAAGCTTGAGATCCTCAGTCGGCAGCGCACCAGGTTGTCGGCATCATGGGCGCGAACTTTTCCGCAATCAAGGTGAGCAAATGGAACTAACGGAAGACACGGACCTTCAGTTAAGACCGTATTCTACTCGTTGCTAACCTACCTGTAGACATTGATTGTCCCCGCCATCATAGCCCTGATTCTCTACCTCGTATTCACCTTCGCCGTCATTCCCATCTGGCAACGATACCGCAACCGCTACAGCCAGTATCTTCCGCTCGACACGATAACCGATGGGGCTTCATCCCTACGAGCACGCATCACTGATCGCATCACTACATGGTTTATAACTTCGGTATGGAGGGCCAGACTGCAAGATCGCATCGATGTGGCCGATAACCGCCCAAGTACTGATTTCGATTCCGATGATGGGGAGGAATTGAGTGAAGTGGATGAAGCTCTCAGGAGGGCTCTGGAGCGCCGAGAACAACCTACAATGAACGATTTTAGGAGGCTAAGCAGAGAGTTAGTGACCGTACCCTTTCCCCCCAAGCTGCTTGAGACTAACAATGTGGACAGTCTGGAACAGGGCTTTCGAGACGACAGCGACGAGGAGACAGATGATCGCACGAGGAGGTGACATCGCCAGCCTGGTTGAGGGTGTTAAAGGCATTGGGAACAATTTCGAGCTTATGAGCAAACGCCAAAGGAGATCGCGCAACATCATATTGGAGTTATGGCATACCAAAACATTGGAGTTACGGGGTTTGACTGAGTTTCTTGGACATGTCATGTTAGGGCAAGCACGACAGGGTACTTGGTGATGGGAGCATTTTCCTCGGCACGAGCAGGAAGGAGGCTGACATGATGCCATGAGATGCTGCTCCGAGCTTCATAATCTTGAGCTTCTGTTGGCGACTGGTGAATATGATCTTTCTTGTCATACTTCGACTCACTCCGTCATGTCTTTTGACTCCCTCAAACAGCTCCTGGTTATTGACCAAAGCCTGCTTCCCTCGGCAATATTGATTCTTCAAGAACACGCAGATGATCTTTCAACCATTCAACGGATGCCTATCTCAAATTTCTTTCTTCAATCACCACATCCCGAATTCCGATATCAGCTCCGTGATGACGATCCCGCCTTGTTTACCCACGTGGTGCCCCGGAACAGCGTGTCCGGCATCGTGGGGTCGGTTCCCCACACGGTCCCGGAGGCTCCACTAAAGCGCTACGATGTACCCCGTCCGTACCAAAGTTACCGCCCGGTATGAACCATTCGCGACGGCCGTTATCATTGATAACAACCAAGATTCGCGGGCTTCCGTTAAGATCAACACGGACCGGGAACCAGGCGGAGCTATTGAATCCACCGGCACAATGAACTTTGGCCTTTGAGACGGCAGTAATTTGTGACCGTATTGGGCATCAAAACAGATAATTCTTCTATACAGAATGAAAGATCGAATCCACGGCTAGATAACAAAAGAAGGCCAATGGATGCCGCGCCGAGGCACCCTAATGTCCCACCGTTAGTCGCATGCGGGGCAATATTATTTCTGTAGCCCTCAATCCGCACTGACAAGACACTCCCTCTCAAACTGGACTCGACAATTTCTTATTCTCCCAACTTCTCTGCCTGTAACATTGTGGCATATCAGACTATCTCGTTCTTTCAAGCTTGATACTTTTGTTTACACTGTAACATATCCTCTTATCTAAACCCGTTTCTGATACCTACCTTTTTCGCCTTCACTGGCCCCGTGTACCTGACTTATAAAAAGCGAAGAACGGGCCATCCTTGTCCGGCTCCAATCCAGTCGTTTCCTTTGGACTCCCTCTTTTTTTGGTAAATCCAAATTCTTTTTCCGCATGTTGGCGCGCCCGAGTCCAAGGTAGCACCCACAGTATCACCCGGATACACACATCGCCCACACAAACCAGAGACAATGACGACACCTCAAGAACAGGCCATCGCCTTCAAGAACGAGGGCAACAAGGCCTTCGCCGCCCACGACTGGCCCAAGGCCGTCGAGTTTTACGACAAGGCCATCGAGCTCAACGATAAGGAGCCTACTTTCTGGTCCAACAGAGCCCAGGTTCGTGCCGCTGCCCGCATCGCCTACATCGTCAACGTCGCCTCCCCGACAATCGCGCCTTGAGTGGTCGCGTGACAACAGCTAACCGCGATTTCTTGCCCCGTCGCATAGGCCCATCTCAAGACAGAAGCATACGGATATGCCATTCGCGATGCCACAAAAGCCATTGAGCTCAACCCGGGCTTCGTCAAGGTACGCCCAAGCCCAGACTGGCACTGCCGCAACCTTATCACCCTCACTTGAGAGAGGTCGCAAACCAGAGTAGTAGCTAATCTGAGCCCCTCCATCTCGTATAGGCCTACTACCGCCGCGCTACCGCCTACGCCGCCATCCTGAACCCCAAGGAAGCCGTCAAGGATTTCAAGACCTGCGTCAAGATCGCCCCCGATAACAAGGATGCCAAGCTCAAGCTTGTTGAGTGCGAGAAGATTGTGCGCCAGCTCGCCTTCTTCGCCGCTATCGAAGTCGGCGATGAGCTGTCCGCCGCCGAGGGTCTCGATGTCGATTCCATGGCCGTGGATGCTTCCTACGACGGCGTGCGCCTGGAAGGGAATGAGATGACACAGGAGTTTATCGACGACATGATCGAGCGCTTCAAGCACGGCAAACTGATCCACAAGAAATACGTTTACAAGATCATTATCGCCGTCAGGAACATTGTGTACAACGAGCCCACCATGGTTGAGGTGGACATCCCCGAGGACGTGCAGTTGACAGTCTGCGGTGATACCCACGGTTGGTTTACCCTTGCATGACTCCCTCCGAGCTGGTGGTTACTAACAAGTGTGAATAGGCCAATACTTCGATTTGATGGAGCTCTTCAGGTTGAACGGCTTCCCTACCGATAAGCACTACTACCTGTTTAACGGCGACTTCGTCGACAGAGGCTCCTGGTCGACTGAGATTGCCCTCCTCCTTTATGCCTACAAGTGGTTGAGGCCAAACGGTTTCTTCATCAACCGCGGAAACCACGAGACAGACGACATGAACAGGGTGTATGGCTTCGAGGGCGAGTGCAAGCACAAGTACAACGAGAGGTAAGCGAGCCGATTTCTTTGCGCCTATTATGCGACATCTAGCATCTTTGAGCAAACAGCTGACATTTTCTTTCCAGAACCTACAAGCTCTTCTCTGAAAGTTTCTCGGCCCTCCCGCTCGCCACCTTGATCGGCAAGAAGTTCCTCGTCCTCCACGGCGGTCTCTTCTCGGACGACAACGTCACACTCGACGACATCCGCAAGCTCGACCGCCACAAGCAGAAGCAGCCCGGCCAGGCTGGTCTCATGATGGAGATGCTCTGGACAGATCCCCAGCCATTCCCCGGTCGCGGCCCCAGCAAGCGCGGTGTCGGCATGCAGTTCGGTCCCGACGTTACCAAGCGTTTCTGCGACAAGAACGGCTTGGAGGCCATCATCCGCAGTCACGAGGTGCGCATGGACGGCTATGAGGAGGAGCACGACGGAAAGTGCATCACCGTCTTCTCGGCGCCCAAGTACTGCGACATGACGGAGAACAAGGGCGCTTACATCAACATTGGCCCTGATTACAAGTTGAAGTTCTCGCAATTCGATGCCGTGCCGCATCCTAACATTAAGCCCATGGTGAGTCCCCTTAAACCCCCCTTTCACTACCGTTACTGGCCCAGGCTAACCCCTTTCTCTCTAGGCGTATGCGCAAAGCTCCGTCATGTCGTCGCTGATGTAAAAGTTGGATGTATTTGTATAGCACAACAGAAAATAAAACGGCGTGAATACCTCGGGCTGCTGTGTAGATTGGGCATGTTTTGCAGGGAGCATGTTTCTGTTTTGGCTTTTGATTGCATGTGATTAGGCGTCGCGCGCAGGAGTATCGGGGGCATGGTGCTAGGGTTCTTGTCTTGATGATATTTTGTTCCTTCTGATGTCTGTTGGATTCTATAATGGTGGTATTTTCTGGTCTGCCAATAAACAAATTGAGGTTGCTTCATAACTCCGTCGCCGTAGTTCCACAGACGTTTCTTAGGAGCCAAACATTCTGCCTTCTCGTAGATGGTCATCCTGACTATGCGCCTCGTAGAGGATGGAACCAAGCAGTCCGTATGACTCTCTTGAAGCTTGTGTAAAGTCACCAAGCCAGACCATTCGGGCTGTACCAACTAAGCCAATTCTTCCTCCACAGAAATGGCCGTTGATCGGGACCAGTACAGCCATCTTCCCTTATCCATCCTCCTCCCATTCCTTTCCCGAACCTGCCATAGCTATCCAGCCTCAACCTCCCCCACCTCGTGACTTTCATGCCGTCCAGCCTAGAGCCCATCCTCCACTCACTGCAATCCCCCTCTCTTCTCGACCTTCTCGACGACAAGACGCCCTCCTCCTCCTCCTCGTCTCCGGGCACGATCCCAACACTTGGTGTCGATAGCATGTATCATCAACCTCGATCCCCATCCCAGCATGACAACTCAACCCCAAACCTCCCCCTCCCCCTCCCTCCCCACCAAAGCCCCCAACCAATCCCCACACCCCACCACCCTCATCAACATCTCTTCTTCCTCTCCTCCCCCCACCTTATGGCCCGGGTAAGCCGTAACCGCCGCCGCAAACCCCGCCAAGTCCTCCCTAGGCACGCGAACCCAGCACTCGGCTCCTTTGACAAGCAACATGTCGATGGCCATCGAGGCGCCCGTGTCTCCCAGAAATTGGCGGAGGGCGGCGGTGAGGTAGTGCCGCGCGGTTAGGGTGTCTAGTTGGGAGGAAGAGGAGGGGGTGACGAGGGAGAGGTGGGCGTAGGAGAAGGGCGGGGAGCGGATGGTTGTTTGGGAGAGGGTTTGGGATTTGGGGGTCTTGGGGGTGGATGAGGAGGGGTTGGTGGGAGGGTCGAGGTCCATTTTTGTTGACATTTTGGTTGTTTTGGTGGTGGTGGTGGTGGTTGTGTTTGGGAGGGTAGTTTCCTTTGGTGATTTGGGATTCTTGTGTTCGGGTTGTTTTTTTCGATGGATGAAATGGACCGTTAAGTGAATGAAGGTCGAGTTTTTCAGTGTTGATATTGCTGAGATGTGATCTAGTCAATTGTAAGAAGTGATTTGTTTTGAAGGGTGGGGTGGTTAAAGCTGTGATGAAAGATTCTGTAAGTTGTAAGTGGAAGATTTTCAGTCGCGAGCGGTTTGCGTTCGATATGAAATGAAAGTTTTGTGAAACTTGTTGCCTTTCGTCTGAGCTACGATATCTGGCTTCTCTCAGTCATTACCTTTCGTTCTACCTACAGGTTAAAGTTTAATCACAATATCCGAGATCTTGAATCATCATTTTCAAAAGTCAGGAACACCACAGCTGGCTGCATCAAAGGTAGAAATGTGTTGCGATTTGAAGGTTTGCATTGCGTCTGCTTTCACATGAAAATCTGTATGCACCAATCAGGGACCCACCTCGATACATGCATACTGTGTATCTATGATAAACACACAATGCCCCACACTTATCGTCGGGTCTCAGCTACGTCACTTTCCCCAAGTACCGCGGTTTATCTCAGCCTGAACCAACCGCCGACAACTCGCTTCGTTGCGTCCAACACGACCCTGATCGTATTTTGATATTGACAGGGTGCGTGATACCCAAACATATCGAAAATACTACGGCCTGAGAAGGTGATGCTGGGGATTACTCCGGGAAACGTAGTTTCAAATCCTTTTCTACATTACCTCCAATGTACAACAGCTTTGCGCATCATTCCTTACTGAACGGGCAACGACCCCATCAATATTTACATCCCAGTTTCTCTCAATCGCTCCTTGCTACTTGATCTTCAATTCAAAAGGCCCTGAAAACGACCTCACCTGACCACTCCTATACTGACGACGCTTCACCTCTCCGTGTCTCACTCTCGAATGGTCCCAAATAATACCTCCCACGCCTCAATCTCAACCTCAACATCATGGATCCCACACGGAGCATGGGCTCTTTAGGAGCCATCCCAATGGATAACCTCGCAACCCTAGCCGGACCGGTCGTCTTCCTCGCCGTAGCCTACTGGTACATCAAAGTGCACGGCTTCATCTACGCCGCCAGTCTAGCATGGACCGTGGTGGGAGTGGTCAAGACCATCTTGACGGTGCCGTTCAACATGGTGTACTGGGTCGTCGCCTCGATTCTCATGATACCGTACTACTTGCTGATGGTAATCCTGTCGCCTCTTGCGTGGCTATGGCATGCGTTTATGGCGCCGTTCTATTGGTTTTTGAGGTTTTTGGGGGATCCTTATGTCAGTGTTTTGTCCTCTTCCTTCCCACTCACTCAACTCACAAGTTTTAAACAATTTACAACTGACAAATCGTCCCACCCCAAATACAGCCAGTCATAATCTTTTTTACTATCGCTATCATAATTGGCCTTTGTTCCGGAGTGATTATCTCCCTAACCTCCGCTATAGCCAGCTCCTTCATCCACAGCTTTGCCTCCTCCTCCATCCGTCCAAGGAAACAAGCACCCACCGTCGTTCCCACTAACCTCAACCTCACCAACTCCAATAACAACAACAACAACAACAACCCCCGAGAAGCCAGAGAAAGAGACAGACCCTCCAGAACAGGCTTCCTCAACCCCCTAGCCCTCAACCCCGTCCCCTCTTCCTCCCCCCAGTCTCGTACCACCCGCCAGTACAACCCCTACGACGCCGACAATGAACTAGTCCACATCGAATACCCCAACCTAAGCGACACCACCAATTCCCCAACCCTCAAACAACGCAACGGTGGTGGAACTTCATACTTTGACCAACAGCAGCAGCAGGCCGCAGCACAACGATCACCGAAATCGATTTCTTCCCCCGGTCCTCCGCAGTTACATGCTAGACCAAGGTCGGCTGTTGCTGTTGTTAAGAGGGGGTTGGGGTTATCTGCTATTGGCGGGATGGGGACGACAGGTTTGGTGGGAGTGGGAGTTGGATCGGGCGCGACGTTATTGAGGGAGACGATTCATGAGGAGGAAGATAGTGGGTCTAGTGGTGATGATTCTGTTTAGATTGTTAGGACCTGGTGAGATGGGAGGGATGATGCCAGGGTGTTGTTGAACCTACGGTCGGTTGTCAAACGAGACGGGACGTGCTGGGTATGTTGACTTGGAGTCATCAATCGGTATTATGGAGGAGAATGACCAGAAGCCTTTCTTGGAATATATTTAGAGTACTGCCGTTTCCTGGATGATTCATCTCATCCTCACCGCACCAAAGCCAGGCCATGTTGTCGGGCATGCGAGTGTTAGTGAATGAGAAAGTCACTGAAGAGATGATCATGCAGTTTATCTATTTTGGCCTTGATCCGTTTCTGCTTAGACGAGTTGCGTATGGTAGCTATATCATCCGCAATGTCTACTCGATTTCCACAGCCAAATGCCCCAGGTCCTTCCACGCTTGTTCACTACGATGGCCCTAATGGTGAATCGCCATCAGGGCCTCCTCAAAGCCAACGGCATCTTCACTTATAGCACGCATCGCTGTGTTTTTCGCCATCCTGATCCCCATTGCGGGTTCCCAACCGGCCTACTTGAATCCCAACTCTTACGCTTTCTACTATCCGGCTTGCGCAACTGTGCGATTTAGCCTCAAGGGGAGCCTGCCTTTTCTCCCTCCTTGAATGCAACGCTCTTTGGATTTTCACCTCCGGTACTTTGTTCGCTTCCAACTTCAAGCATGGGTAAATTCCTGCTGAAGTCAGCGGCAGTGAAGACGTGGATCAATTGGGAAGTTGTCTCCCATCTCTTCTTTCTCATGTGAACACCGTACATCATAAGATGCGCGTCCTTTCTTCTACGACCTATCATGATCGTCCCGTCTCGGGGTCGTCCCATCACCTCCACTAGGTCTATAACTGTCACCAGGAACCCAATTGGGCCTATGACTGTCACACCCAAAGAGGCGAATACCCGCCTTCCTCAGGGCTACTGTCCTGCTCATCCCTATCGGGCTTATAACTGTCATACCCATAAGGGGTACTGCACTCGTCTTCCTCCGAGTTACTCCTGTTACTCTCAGGACTGCGAGTATTAGAGCCTCCCACACCAGGCGAAGAACTCTATCTTCGCGCATAGGCATCACGGTCCCGACCTCGATCACGGTCGCGAACCGGGGATCTGCTGCGTGTTCGGCTCCTCGTCCTGCTGTCACGGCTCCTAACATCGTATTCAGGCCGTCTCCTATCCCGGTCCACTCCTCCTCGCCTGTCGTCCCAGTCGTCACGGCGGCGCCAGTCTTCTCGGCGCGGCGCGGGCCCGTCACGGTCGTAGCTGGGGATGTAGGTGTCTACATTACTCGGACCACCTCCCCCTCCTGGCGGTCCACCGGGACCCCTACGTGGTGGACGGTCACGGTACCCATCGGGATGGTCAATCGGCCCGTTATGGTAGTCTGCGGGCATCGGAGGTCGTGGTGGCAACCCCCGCGCACTATGCCACGAGGGAACGCGCTCGTCGCCTGGTGGAGGACCGCGGTGGTATGGCGGGTATCTGCCGCCGTTTGGGCCATTCCGACCACCACCTCCGTAGCCATCTCTACCGCTGAATCCGGTATCTGGGCCTTGGCCACCAACAACAGCCCCGCGACCCACGGTGCCTCCCTTAGGCGCAGGCGGTAACGCCGCTTTCCTGTCTTGGAATTTGCGCCTGTCAAATTCGTGACTCTCCTCGAACGTTGGTAGATCGCCAGGTTGAGCTGGTAGTGGCGCGGTCCGGAAATATGGGTGGTTGAGAGCATCGATCGCGTTAATGCGTGACCTCCAGTCAAGCTTGAACAGCTCCTTGAGCAGCGAAATAACCACGGGTCCGTGCTTCTCGAATCTGCGCGTCAGGTTTCCTGGCCTGGGCTTTGATGCGAATGCTTGGCCACCGGGTAAGGTCCTCCATCCGGGCATCGTCTCCTCAGATGGTGTTCCGCAAAGGTCCCAAACGAGCTCTAACTGGTGAAGATCGCTTTCGCCCTGCAATACTGGCTTTCCTTCCAGCATCTCTGCGAACACGCATCTGGAGTGGTTGTTAGCATCAAAGAAAGCACGCGTCAGGAACATGTCTGGTCTTACCCAACACCCCACATATCTATCGCTGTGGTATACCTCTTCAGATGCATCAGAAGCTCAGGGGGGCGATACCATCTAGTCACCACCAAGCTAGTGTAGTCACGCTTCCCTTCGCCACTCCCCTTTCCGGGCTGAGGAATGTCGCCCTCGTAATGCCTCGCTAAACCAAAATCGGCAATCTGTAGTATACCCTTGTTGTTGATGAGAAGATTGGCCGCCTTCATATCTCTGTGAAGAATGTGGTTCGCATGCAGATACTGGAGACCTTCTAGCAGCTGCAACAGATAACACTTGACTTGTGGTTCTGTGAAGCGAACTGAAGGGTTATCGAGCAAGCCGGATAAATCGTGATCCATGTAGGGCGTGACCATGTACACGATAGGTCTTGTTCGCTTGTCGGCTGATGACGGTTGTTTCTTAGCATGGGACGTCCCCAACGTAGCTGACAACGGGTTGACCTACTTCTGGGTGGATGCTCAATCGCCATCTCCTCTAAGCGCAAGACGTTTTTATGTGAGAGAAGCTTGAGCAACTTGATTTCTCGGAGAGCGGTAATGGGGAACTGATGGGCAAGTCAACGTTAGAGACAGTCGAATCCAAGACCGAACCGAAGGGCAAGCGCGGTGACCAACCCCATCTCTCTCGTTGTGCATAATGATCTTCTTGAGCGCAACTAGGGCACCTGTTTTCCTCGACCTCGCGCGGTGAACCTCACTGGGCAGAAGAGTGTCAGTAACCGCAACGATTGCTTCTCATAGGAAACAGTGAGAACATACCCAAAGGTACCCTCGCCCAGTTTACCCAGGACTTCATAGTCGGCAATCCTAGAGCAACCCACGAAGCTACCCCTGTCCCTCTGGTGCGCAATCGCAAAAGCGCGAGGAGACATGGCAGGGCCTCCGCCGCCCTCCTTTGCCTCGTCAATGCTCATCGCGTGGCAGTCCTCTTCTTGTTTGTATAAAATCTTTTGGCGACGGTCGCTTAGGGTTGAAGGGCCAAAAGGCTATATTGTGTTGGAAGCTGCGGGATGCTGTTTGGCTTCGTGGATGGATATCGTCGGCGTTTTGTTTTCCAGTTGGAAAAGCAGAAGGGAACGGAAGAACGGAGGGAATCCTCTGTCGCTTTGCGCAAGCATCAGTTGCCGCGTGTCTGCCGGCTGTTGGTGAGTTACCTGGCAGTTGATTCTGTCAGGTTAAAGGGAAGACATGTGAGGCAACATGCGAATTCGTCGGTTGGTGTTTGGTTCACCGTGACCTTTTCTCGTCTTTCTTCGTTCAACTTTTTTGGAACAAAATGCCCCGTCGCCTTTCACAAGACTGGAGGCGCGCTCTGGTGGCAGGCCCCCGTTTCGGTTCCAGCGATCGAATGCGCTGCAACCTCAGAACACTAGCGCGCCTTCCAGCAACGGGAAGCGATAAGATGGGCGGGCAATGCAGACCATGACGTCTCCAACTTTGTCGCTTGTACCTTCGTACCTTACCTTTCCTCCCTTCCACTTTGACAGAAAATCTGTAGCCTCAAATATCAGGCAGCCAATCATTGAGAACGTCAAAGGTACGTCGCTACAACCAGCTTGGTGGTCAGGATCCCGAAGGACGGACGACTCTATCCCCGTCTCCCCCCATCGTCGCAAAACCCACCGTGACGCCCTCAGAACCACAAGGTAAAGCTCCACCACCAATCCATCCACTGTGTTTCTATGTTAATGCGCAATTGAATAACCTAATACAAACGTTCCCCAGGAACGGGCATTCAGTAATTCACAAAATGGCAGGCGGCGGAGAATTCGAGCGAGTCCCTCGCCCCGAGAACTACCCTCACGGGCCCGAGTTCCAGCCGCGCACGCTGCACCAGAGGTTGCAAGGGAAGTGGTGGTACCGCGTGCCTCCCAACCACAGCAAGCCCGTCTACCAGTTCCTGAGCATTGGCCTTGGTGCATCCATGTGGTTCTGGGTAAGGTGCCTTGTCATTTACGAACCCTGCATATCCCGGATACAGTGACTGACTCGTGCTCGCTCTATGCGTTTACCAGATCATGTATCGGGCGAAGAAGGACGGAGCCGTTCTCCTCGGCTTGAAGCACCCTTGGGATCACTGAGCGACCGTATCGACGCGAATATTCAACCACGTGAAGTGGGCAAGGGGAACTGCGTTTGGAGTTTTACGACGCGAAATGGTGGTTGGAACAGAACATCATCGACTGGCATGGGACTGGACCAACAGAACAGATATCGGCCCGTATAACAGGAGGGCGCCATCATGAGTCATCACTCATCAATTATGAAGCCAGACCGCGGATTGCGTTAGAACAAAAGTCAGGCGCATCATCAATGAAATAACTATATAAGGAAGAAGGATATGAGGAGTGATCTCCGTGTACGCCACGCCAGCCTTCACTAATTCTTCGTGGGAACTTTCGACCATGTTTGACCATCACACTATCTCAAGTTCTGGCTTCAAAGGGCTACCAAATACGACATCGTATGCACAGGTGGCTTCTCGAACAAAGCGTGGGTGACCCCCCACGTGTCGCCTCCGTCGGTCTTGAACATTTCCGAGCTGGCCAGGTGGAAGATCTGCCAACGGTTATGCCAAACGAAGGCCTTGTCCTCGCCGTATGTCTCCGCCAGGTGCGGCATCATCTTCTCCCTTCTGGCCATGGTGTTTTCGAGCCAATGCTGTGTGAGAGTCCCATATGTCAGCCCCTATCTAAGATCCGGATGTGCATGCTACGCTCTTCCAAAGAAAGCATCGAGGGGTCTGAGTCGATATTCTTACCTCGAGAGACTTCGAGTAGTGGTATCCATTGATCCACCAGTGCTTCTTGATGACCAGATCCTTCTGAAAGTACAAAAGAAGATCCGAGGAGGGCATCGTGCCTCCGGTGAAGAAGGTTCGAGCCATCCAACCATCCTCGTAATGGTAGGGCGTGGTTCGGTGGCAGAAGTGGTGAACGAGGAGCTGGCCCTCAGGACGAAGGGCTCTCGACATTTTGGCCATCAGACCTTCGTAATTCTTCATGTGCTCGAACAGCTTTAGGGCCTCCATGTTAGCCACTCACCATTTCTCAAAAGTATTTTGGGGGAAACCCCAATTAATTGCTTACCTCGACGGACAACGCCCGGTCGAAATAGTTGGGCTCGAATTCATAGTCGGTACAGTTTCCAGTGATGATCCGTACGTTCATCAGGCCCAACTCCTTTGCCTTGGCATCAATGTACTCCTTCTGGGTACGGGAGTTCGAAAAGCCCACGACCTCCATGTCGGGTATCTTCTCGGCGAAATACAGAACGGCAGCTCCCCAACCGCATCTATGACTGGGTTAGCCTCTTCCTTCTTGATTTGTGCAATCCACGCATGGCATATTCAGTCCCATCAGCAGGAGTGATAGTAAACTGACCCAAGATCAAGGAACCTCATGCCGGCTTTGAGTCCCAGCCTTTCGATGTAGAGGTCAAGCATCTTCTCCTCGGCCTCTTTCAGTGTCTCTGTGCCGGTGGGATAGTACGAGCAGCTGTACTTGATCCTCGGGCCAAGCATGTTGGCCATGATACCCGTCGCGATCTCGTAGTTCTGCCTGTTGGCAGCGTCCGTCTCGATGGCGATGGGCTGGTGACGAACAGTCTCGAAAAAGTTCATCTTGTAAGCCAGTGTCTCCGACCACTTCGAGATAGGGGCGAGGACGCCCGGGAGAAGGGCAATCTTGGGTGAAGCCAAATCTTCGAGTTTGGCCTTTAGGCTGGGATTGCCCTTGGCAGACACTGTAGCGAGAACTTTCTCCGGGAAGGGAGGAGTGATCTCGTCGAGACGGCGACGCAGCTCCCGGCGGATGAGCACGCGCAGGACGGCATGGGGGACGACACCGCTGTCCAGGACACTATCGCACCAAGTGTCGTTGAGGTTGTCGAGGATCTTGCCTACAGAAAACCACGTCAGAGCTGATCACCCTATGCGTCACACCGTGGTGAACAGAATTTCAGTCTGTACTCACTGATGAAAGGGAACATCTTGATTGATGTTAGACGTTGTTGATGACGAGTAGTGAATGTTGCAGTCGGCGAGGTCGCTGGACCGTGGATGGGATCACGGAGAAAGAGTGAGGCGTGAGAGGGAGATATCCTCTGATGTGGCCGACTGGAGCAGTCGGTGTGGTGATGAACTGGGAGAACGAGTGGGTGGTAAGTTGCTGCTATGGCAAAGACATGATCGTGAAAATCTTTTTGTGGGAAATTTCTATAAGTCGTGGATGCCTGAGTGTGTTGCCGAAGAATGAAGAGAAAGAACGAGGCAGGAACTGCTCAAGAACTGGTCCTTTTATATCTAGATAGGCAGGGAAGTGAGTAACGCCTTCCTGTCCTACTGAACTTGACCCCTTGTGTCTTCCTTTCAGAAGGAAGGTGCGATGAAAGCACAACATACTACCCAACCGCGACTGCGAAATGCGTCGTTTGGGTGGGAAAGAGCAAGTTGAGCAGGTTTGCGTGTCTCTGATCCACATCGTGTAAGTTCCTGGCGGTGAGTACCTCATCGTTAAATTAAGATGGGAAGGGCCTAGACTCTCGAGGTCACAATAGCAAGTTGGGATGAAAGAAAGATAAGCACACGGTACTGTGTAGAAGGTACCTTGATGGCAGGGACGCTCCAGATGGGGGATGATGAGGACGGTGATTGCAAAGTGAGCGACGAATCCGGATGAGAATAGAATCGCTTTTAGATAATAGTCAAGTCTTCGACTAGATACGCTTGCTCCAAGCCCGAAAACTCATCGGGGTACTAAGACATTTCCATGTCTGAAACGCCTCGGCGCCGTCCATGCCTACGTTCATATATACAATGTGTTAAACGAGAGAGAAAGATGACATCCCTCATTTAGCAGATCATCCTCTCCAAGATGACCTTATACTCCTTCCTCTTCTTGGGCTCCTTGGTCAAAGACTGGCTGACCTTTCCGATCAGGCGCGCAAGTCGTTGAAAGATAACGTGCTCACCGACCCAAGCCAGAACGAAATACATGATGCCCAGGGTGAAGATGAACATCTTGAAGTCCCAACTGATAGGAGTAAGGTCCATCAGACTTACGAGCCCGGCAGCCGGACCGAGGATCATGTATCCCGTGAACGCAAGAGTGGCAGCAATCGCAGCAACGAAGGGCCCTGTGAACAAGAAAGGTTAGCATATGCGATTGGGTAAGTAACAGGTCAAGACTTAAATGGGGAAACGTACAGTTGGTCCAGGGAGGTTGCCTGAAGGGCCTACCCGCATTCAGAACTACACCTGCGAGTATATACTCAAAACAGGACGTCAAGAAGAGAGCAGTATTTTCAGAATTCCGAATGTTGACCTTCTCGTGTTCTACCTTGGGTGGGATGAACCAGGGTTGCTCACGCACAGCGATGAACGCCATAGTTTGGATGAAGATGCAGATAAACATTTGTCCAAGAAGTGGCACCAACACCTTGCGAGAGACCAGGTCGGCCGTCGGTCTCTTACGACAGAGCTCTGGGAATGGGCCGGCCCAGCTCATAAAGACGGCGATCGGTAGGATGAGAGCCAGATCAATGAACAGGAACTGGAAGTCGCCCAGGTTCGATGCTGAGGCGTACAGGAAGCTGACTGACGTAAACTGGATGGCCGAGTACAAGCTCATGTACTTGAAGCAACTGAAGCTGGTGACAAGCGCGGCTCGGCCTTCGCGAATCACCTCTGGGACGCAGCGGATGTCGAATACTCTGGATGTGAAAGGAGCGGCCACGGATGCCTCAGCCTCGGAAAGGGAGATACCGACATCGGCGGCCTTCAAAGCGCCGCAGTCGTTGGCGCCGTCGCCACAGAAGCCACAGCAGTAATCTATGCTCTGCAGTTTTTCAACAAGCTCATGCTTCTCGTCAGGAGACATGCGGGCAAATACCTTGCCAGTAACGAGCATTCTCCGCATGACTTCTGGAGGCGCATAGTCGATCACCCATCGGAACACATCGCCGCTGACAGCCAAAGAATAGTTCCGTAGGTTAGAAATGTCGTATGGAAGAGAGGCGTCTCCCTCTGGCGGTGGTGGCAAGGGGAGCAAGGTGCGGTCGTCCAGCTGGTAAATCGGATTGTCGATGCTCTCCCATTGTAATTTGGCGTTAGGGTCTCTCGAATGACCAGCGACGAAGCGACCAACGAAGCAGTGAGCCGTCTTGTTAATCAGGCTGCACTCCCGCGCAACGCTAATCGCAGTCAGAATGTTATCTCCAGTCACCATGACCGATCCGATGTTAGACTCGGCGAGCTCTTTCAAAACCGGGGCCGTTGCAGGCTTCAACTTGTTCTCGAAGACAATGAATCCGACGAAGTCCAGATCCGACTCCACGTCATGCCGTGTCATTTTCTGAGCTTTCACCCAGCTGAGTTTAGGAATGTGCTTGGTGGCGCAGCCGATGACTCTGTATCCCTTGTGCGTATAGAAGTTGAGCTGATCATCGTAGTCCGCGGGAACTGAGAATTTGACACACGTTAGTAACTTCCAAGGTCGATCATTTGAGAGACATGACTTACATGATTCCGGCTTGCAAATCTCTCGCATGCACTCCGGCGCGCCTTTAACGAAGATGTCTCCGCTCTTCTGTCCAAACGTCCTAACTATAACGCTTGCTCTTCGGAGCTGAGACACAAACTCGAAAGACCTAAGAACACCCAGTTCGAATGGTGCACGCCCGTTTTGTGTAGCATCTTGCCGGTCGGCATCCGTGTAGCCCTTGTCTACAGTTGGGGGCCTGGCGATGGATGGCTGCAATGTTCTTTGCTCTTCCCCGTCCGTAGCGCCTCCTCCCTCGTGTCCTTCTTCGAACGACCATCTCGTGAACTCGAACATCTTGAGATCCAGGGGATCACCAACAAGCTCATCATCGACTGAACGGAGAGAGTGACACGTTGCCATTGTGTACAGTGCCGCCTTGAGTGTATCGGTCGAGTCTTTAATCCCGGTGCCATGATCTTGACGAGGCACAAGATCGTCTGGGTTATCAAGGATGTCGCTAAACCGATTGTTGGTTCGATTAACCACCCGAACCCCAAGAATATCAAGACCTTCCTCAGTGAGAGTTCCTGTCTTGTCAAAACACATAATGTCTAGTTTTCCACCGACATTAACTCGTTGTGGGCTGATACAGAAGATCTTCTTTGACTTAAGACGGCCGAGTGCGAAGTTTGTACCAATGGTGAGTGTTGCTGGCAACGCAGGAGGGACCACGATGGTGATCAGATCCAAGGCCCGAACGATGATGAGATGCCATGACAGGTTGAGCCGTATGAAGTTGATGAACGAGGCCGCAAACCCAACCATTGCAACGCATGCCATGACAGAGATGTATCGGAACGAATCGCGGTAAAACTTGAAGCCCGACGGCTTGGGGAAAAGCATCGACCGAACCAAAGCTCCTTTAGTGGTGTTGAATCCCGTTCTGACAACAAGAGCGAGGGCAACAGCCTCCTCATTGTGGTCATCTTGAGGCCTGCGAGCACGGATGATCTTTGTCCCGCAAAACAAGAAGTGTTTCGCTACTTCTGGAAGCACGGTAGAGGCACCAAGATCCAGATTCCGGAGCGACTGATCGGTTGCCGGGGTCTTGGATACCGGCACGGATTCACCGGTGAGCATGCTCTCGTTAACGATGCAGTCGCCGCCAAGTAGAAGACTGTCCGCAGGAAACTGGCCGAGGCTCGGATCGCTGACCTCGTAAATGTCACCAGGTACAAGATCACTGGAAGAGACGTGGCGCCCTGTACGTGTTAGCAACTTGCAAAACCACTCGGAGAGGGTAGTCTCGAACTTACAAAAGCCATTCCTGAGCACCCTAACGTCGCATACAAACCGGGAAATTTCCCGTAGCCTCTTCATTGTCGATTTGGTTTCGATAAGAGTAGCTACAATGCTGCCAACCGACATGACGAAAATAGCGACGGCATAATAATAGTACTCATCAACTGACCATAATATCAAACTGGCAATCTGGAACACATAGAAGGGGTGGAAGACCTTGAAGTCATAGTGTTAGCTCGTATGCGCCGCAACAACACAAAGATGAACACCTTACCTCGTCGGCCAAGAGGCGGAAAGTAGACTTTTCTTCGATGTCAATTAGATTTCCTCCAAAGACGGCATCTCGATGGCTCTTCTCCTCGCTGTCGATACCAGAGCGAATTGTTTGGACGTCTGTCCAGAGCGGATCCTTCCAGCCATTACAAAGAATGAACTTATCCTTGAGCGGGTGGTAGAAAAAGCGCACGTAGCGGTAGTTGATCATGCGGAGGTCCTGGATGATTGGGTCATGGTCTTCATCCAACGAATAGTTGGCCAGTTTACCCGGAGATCCGAAGACAGTCGAAAGGACACGCCCATAAGGCTTTGAGTCAACGTTAAGGATGGCCATCTCGTTCCATGAGTTTTCAATAACCACCCACTGACAGTCCCGTAGTGAAGATGGGCGTCCAACCAGCTTGACATGCCATCTAGGCACCCATCGGAACAGAAGCCAGCCGACTCCAAAGGTCAATAAGCATATGAGGATGTAAACAGCCAGGCCGAGAGTACTCGTGCGGAATCCAGCGATGGCGATATAGAGATCTTCGTTTACCATGTATACTTTTTGGCTGGTACGGTTTCCACCATGTCCGCTGCTTGCTGATACACCGCTGTCTCTGCGCAGAACCCGACTATGCCCAGATCTCCTTGACTGAGTTGAGGACCGTCTGTTGAGCATGTATTCGTCGTCTGGAGCTTGGCGTTCCAAGTCTGATGAACCCATCTCTGATGCGCCAACGTCGTCTTCATAGTCATCTTCGAACGGTAATTCGTCAAGGTCTTCGATCGAGGCGACCTCGCCTGTTTCGAAACGTTCATCGATATCTTCTTGGTAGAAAGAGAAGCTAGTGGTAGAGTCGGCGCGAGCTCGGCGGTGGTTGAATGCGGACACACTGGTTGGGAGCGACTCTGCCATAGGGCCAGAGTAGAGCTGTTGCCGCCACT